AGCTGACCAACTACCTGATGACAGTGGTGTTCCAGGAAGAGTGGAATGGGTTAGGGGGAAAACCCATTTCTCAAAATCAAGAGAAAAAAGATAGAAACATTCTCCACAGCAAGAACCTTGGAGGAGGATACTAGGGCCACAACACTGAGTTGAACATGACTATCACTCACTGGGAGATCCAAGGAACAGAACCAAGTCTCAAACTTCAACCAGGCAAATTGACTCCACCTGAAGCTAAATGAGAACATTGTGTAGGATACAAATTTAGACAACTACAGGGGGCAAATAATAGAATACTAAATAATAAAATAACTTCTATAAATCAAGTCTTCTAAGATGACTGAATCTATTCATAGTTGACACGACCGAGCAATAAAAGATTAAAACTTAACAATGTGGCACAACTCAACAAACATGTCCTACTGCTGGTCCCAAAGCAGGTTTTGAATCCAGGTCAGTTTAGAGTCATAGAATCTCTACACAGGTGAAACCAGGCCGTTCGGTGCTTAGAGTCCACACCGACCCTCCGAAGAGCATCCCACCCAGTCTCACACCATCACCCCCCCCCCACATCCTACCCTTGTAACCCTGCATTACCATAGCTAAGCCACCTAGCCTGCACATCCCTGCACACTACAGGAAATTTGGCATGGCCAATTCATATAACCTGCACATCTTTGTGGGAGGAAACCGGAGCACCCTGTGGAAACCCCTGCAGATACGGGGACAACGTACAAACTCCACACGGACAATCGCCCAAGGGTGGAATTGAACCCGGGTCCCTGGCATGTGAGGCAGCAGTGCTAACCATCATACTAAAGAAGGTAAATGTGGAATGTGTATTCAACATTCATCATTGGAGCTTAATACCCAAAGACTTACATGGATTGGAGATACTTTTCAAAAGAAAAAGGACAAATCTTGATCTAAAATGGCTGCAGTGATTGCGTTATCATCCAAGCCAAGCTCATGAAACAAGGCTCACTCTGAATCTGTCAAAACAAACATTGTTCTAAGACTGAAACTTACATCTGCGTCTGCCCATTGATTTGCACATCTCTGGAGATATTTTTCCTAATCAACTTGTTCAAAGATGTTCCTTCACACCTCTGGAGCAATGGGACTTGAGTCCATGCTTCCTGCCACAGACACAGGGACACTACCCTGAACCACAGGGGCCCTGAACACACCTTCCTGAATATTTTGTTTGACGGTTCCCCAATCAACCCATTTTGAGATGTTATTATACACCTCTGGTTCAGGTAGGACATGAACCCAGGCCTCCTGGCCCAAAGGTGGGGACAATGCCTCTACAGCACAAGGGCCTCACATCGTTTTGGGGATATTTTCGTAATCAACCTGTTGAGACATATTGTGACACACCTCCAGACAATGATGCTAGACAGCAGAATCAACAAATGAAGTATATTTCAGCTAAGAGCTGTTTTCAGCAGCAAAAAAAAGAGTAATAATTATAAACCGATGACAAAGGACACAACAAGCTCCTCTTGCCCTATTTGCTCAACCTTGAAGTGAATGCCCAGTGAAAAAAGCAACCTGGGACAACACTGTTCACCAAGAACTGAAGATCTACACAAATTACAGCTGCTGCAGAATTTGAGTCAACTTTCAAACAACTGGCCTCAAGTTTCAAATCTAACTCCTTAAAGACTCAGATCTTAATAAATAACTGCATACCCTATTCTTCCTATCCATATGAGACACTTTTCAGTTTTTAACTTACCACCTGTGTATGAGGTTGCATTTTGTTATCATGTTGTTGGTAGGTCATATAATTAATTTCTCTTTCTTTCACTCAAGAGAACTTGCTAGATTGACTCAGAGGTAGCAAGAAATGCAGATGCTGGAGTCAGAGACAACACAGCAT